AATAACTTATCTATTATTAAATCATATGAAGTTCGTTGAACATCATAACACGCCACGCCAGCTATAGTGTGCAATGATAAAATCATTTATTTTTAACCTTTACATTAATAACTTCTTTATCGCTAAGACAGCCATATGAAGTTCGACTAATATCGTTGCGTAGCGCGGCTCAGCAATTACAATTTGTAATGATAAAATAATTTATATTTATCTGATCATTTAATCCTTTATATGAATTTTTTTTTCCAAAATTGAAATTTAGTCAAATCGCTTTTTCTTATTCGAAAACAGCTGATTCAGCCCGATACTTCAAAACATTTAGATTTGTTTTCAAGATAAAATTGATAAATGTACAAGCTCGTTTAATAGTATATATACAAACATACATATGTAATATAATAAGAATACTTTTGTGTATACAAAAGTTTCTTATCATTTCTTTATACTTATATACATATTTGCATATCTACATAATCATTGGATCAGATTATTATTATTTTTTTTTTCTTCAATTAATCATCTCAAGAGTAATCTAATCCTGTTCTTCATAATCTTCTGCACTGGTACAAGGTCGCTTCAACTAGGACACTCATTAATACTTAGGCACGATCGCGTGCCTAAGCTCGACGTTTGTTTTTTCTAATCTTGAAACAGATCCTTCATATAAACATCCGACTAAAAGCAACTGGAGATGCGCTTTCGTATAAGTTCCAGTGAATCCTTTAAATCGTCATTAACGCGTGCGAGGAATCGTTTGTTTTTGTTTTACACTTCTGGCTTTCTGAAAATCGTTGAGCAACACGTTTCTACCACCAAATCGCTCCTGATTTTCTGCTTTCGAGCGAAGCAGCATAAGATCAACAGGAGATCGAGTAAAACGACGTTTATAATAACACGTGTCCTGTGTCCCATCACGTAGAGAATAGTTCGTCTTTTTTTTTAAAGTTAAGAGAGGAAGAAAAGTAAATTGTTTTGTTTGTGTCGACCTGCCTTAGAAATTTGTCGTTGATCTATTTCGATGTATTTCGATTTTTTTCTTCTCTCTCTCTTTCTCTTTTTAACGAGTACAAGACTCGTACGTTTGTAAATATTCGTGCTAGGAGAGTAAATGTCCATCGACTTCGAAAAGAAGAAAAGAAAGAAACTTACACGTTTTTCTTATATTTTATTTTCAACGAACTATAAAAATATATAATTTGAATAACATTCTTTTGAAAGTTAAGAAATTTCCTTGTGATTTCCGGGAACTTAGTGGTTTTTACGAATTTATCATAAAAACAGCGGATCAGAAAAGTCTGCATCGATTGTGACGTTGAAAAGACGTATTACGTACGGTCGATTGAAATGAATATTTTTAGGGAATTTTTGAAATTGAATGATTTTCTTCGAAATCAACTGAATGTCTAAAAGTTGCTGTGCATCTAAAAAAAATTCTAAAGCTAATGGATGATTTAATCTTTAAATCATCTCTAAATCGTTGATGAAATGTTATAATTTATCAACGAATTCAGAGATTATTAGTCTATGTAAAAATTTGTTTTCTTTTTGATCTATATCATATTTATTAATTGTTAAATATTAATTATTACTAATGGAAACGGATGTTTTTTAAATTATTTCTGAATCGTTGGTTAAGCGTTATAATGTATAAATAAGTTTAGAAATCTTAGTAAAGTTAATCTATATAATTAATAGTTAGTCTATGTAGAAGATGTTCGAAAATAATTTTTTAAATGGATCATTTGAATTTTTTCTTTTTTTTTTCATTTACATCTTGCTTACCAGTTATAAAAATTACATAGAAATTTTAAATTAAATTAATTACTATTATTAAATAGAATTAAATTAAGTTTTAATTACTTTAATTTCTTTTTTTTTTGTTTAATAAAATACAATTTAATTGAACAAATTATTACGAAGGAAATAAAATCTGAAATTATTATCGTGACATTAATCGAAGGTTAATGTAAAATAATATCTTTTAATTTATAATCAACGTGGGTTATGATCCACTTGCGTGATTCTCGACTATGAAAATGAAGACAGGTGTATAGCAAAGTATAATAAAGAATGGAGGTGTAGCATAGTATGATGGAGACACCATATATAAAAAAGATAGGCGTAAACGTAGCGTGTTCGTTGTTGAAATCGTTTTGTATGTCGTAAGTTTTACGGTTTAACGATAGATTATAAAATTGGATGAAGGAGAAGAAGAAGAAGAGGAAGAAGAAGAGAGAAGGGAGAAAGGGGAGAGAAGAGGAGAGGAAAAGAGATTAACCGATGTTAGAAAATATCGTGATAAACTCGAAGAAAAGTAGGACGTTCGTTTAAGCGAAGTCACGCTTATACGCGATACGGAACGCATACGTAACGATTTATAATGAGCAGCCATAATTCGTAACGCTTTGCGAATCGAATCGGTAAGATCGAGATTGCTATTTCCAAGAACACCAACGCTCCTACATACGATGTTTTGCGCAATTTCTCTCGTTCTATAGTGAAAAGAGATCTCTTGTAAACTCTTGCTTTCCTGATTAACTAATAATAATAATAATAATAGTAATAATAATAGTAATAATAATAATAATAATAATAATAATAATAATAATAATAATAATAATAATAATAATAATAATAATAATAATAATAATAATAATAATAATAATAATAATAATAATAATAATAATAATAATAATAATAATAATAATAATAATAATAATAATAATAATAATAATAATAATAATAATAATAATAATAATAATAATAATAATAATAATAATAATAATAATAATAATAATAATAATAATAATAATAATAATAATAATAATAATAATAATAATAATAATAATAATAATAATAATAATAATAATAATAATAATAATAATAATAATAATAATAATAATAATAATAATAATAATAATAATAATAATAATAATAATAATAATAATAATAATAATAATAATAATAATAATAATAATAATAATAATAATAATAATAATAATAATAATAATAATAATAATAATAATAATAATAATAATAAAAATAAAAATTACTGATTACTATTTAGATTGCATCATTTAACGATCACTGGATTATTTTTAAATTCCGTTATCAATAAACCGAGACTCAATTGGAGTTACTCGCAAATATAATCGTTTGGAATCATTGAAATTAATCATTTTGTTTATTTAGAAATAAAAAGAGAGAGAGAGAGAAATTATCTTTATATTTATCTTTAAAATTCCGGTCTTTTGATTCTTACGAAGATTCAAAGAAACAGAAAAGAAAAATAAGAAAAAGGAAAAAATATAATGTGAGACATAAAAAGCGATAAATGCGTTTCTTTTTGTGGTAATATCCTCTCCGATAAGGAATCATGGCGTCACTCGGTCAGAGTATTCTCTCACTCTCTTTCTTTTCTTTTCAATGGTAACTAAAGAAGGAGGATTTTAGGATCTCCGGTCCCTGAAACAAGCGGTTAACTTCGTGGTTGCTGAGTTGGCCAGCCTAAAACGTGCGAGATATTTATAGAGCACAGCTGCAGAATCGTGCTGTTCGTGCTGTTCGCTCTATGGGGAGAAACACTCTTCTCCTCCTCATCCTCATTCTTCTCATCCTCCTATTGCTTTACCTCCTTCTCTTTTTCCTCCTTAGAGAATTACGTACACACACAGAAAGAAGCTTCTTCGTTGAGCCTTTGTAACGTAGGAGACATAACGGTCCCGTGAAAGCATGTTACTCATTTCATTTCTTACGTGGGTATCTCGAGATAGATATGGTCAAAGAAGGAGAAAAAGATTGAAGAGGAGATAGAAAAGGAAGATGATGGAAGTGGGTGGAATCTTCTCGCGGAATTCTCTTCCCTTTTCCGCTTACCAATCATCGAGATCGACTGCTAAGCCATATGAAATTCCCCCTTTCATTTTAAAAGAAACAAACGACTGAGGTGTTTCCTGGGAACTCATTAAACTCTAAACAAATAATTATACCTACCCCATTCTTTCCTGTTTCACCCTTCACCGCTCGCTACCGAATTAGTCCTTTGTAGTATACACCGAGGGTCGTTTCTTTTAACCGCCTTGTCAACTGAGAATATGTATATCTCGTAGAAAGACAAATAATCATTCTTTTATTATTCGTATTTTTTGTTTCTATTCGTAATTCGTTGTATTATTCTTCGAAAAAGGAATATCTTCTCTTTATGATGAATTTAATTTTACGAATCGTTTCTATGAATTCATCTTTGTGAATTCGTCTTTGCAAATTCATTTTCATGATAATCTTTTTATAAATTCAATTTTATGAAATCCTTCTTACGAATTCATTTTTTTTTTAATTCGTCTTTATGATCTATTTTTCCTGAATTAGATTTTATGAAATCGTTAGAATTCATTTTTATGAATTTATTTATAAGAATCCGTTTTTTGTTTTCTTAATTCATTTTAAAAAAGTTTCACTGAATTTATTTTCTTAAATTTATTTTTTGTTGAAATTGGTTTTATAAACGTTTTTATGAATTCGTTTATAAAAAAAAATGAAATAGGCAAGAGATTTCTATGGTGAGTAATGCGAGGATCCTTGATAGAACGAGCTCGATCGTTTTTTACATAGTTTCATTCGAGACGACAAAGAGAAAGAAACCTTTGAATCGTCCGACGACATTCACCGCAACATGCAGTCCCACCCCGTGTCTTCGTCTTCTTCTTTACGAGGGGGCGACCCGCCGCTAGTTTCTTTCGAACAAATCGTCCGTGCGATGCGACGACGAACGGGGAAAAGAAAATACGGGAATGCGCCGAAAGGGTGAAGAGACAGACATTATTTCCGTCGAAGGTTTCGCGTTTCACTGAAATATTTGTCCCCTTTATTCCACTTGAAATTCGTTCAATTTTATATTTCAAAAATCTAATACGTACACCTAACAATTCATCATTGATTATTAATAAAAAAATTTTATTTGTTCATTGATAAAAATCGTATCACATATCAAAAAATTTCAGATATCGCAATGGACTGGTCGGATCATGCGTTATGGTGGCCAGCACGAAATCACTGGTTGACAAGAACGAGAAGTACATTGGATCAGTACGGCGTTGCTGCGGATGCATTATTGCATTTCACTCCAATGCACAAAACGCTTCGGGTTCAGTTACCTGACATGCGTTCCGTCGATTGTAGGGTAGATTTCTCGGTAAAAACGTTCAACGCCGTGATCAATCTCTGCAAAGAACTAGGCAAGTTTTCTGAACATTATGAAAATTACTATGAATATAAAATTACTATGAGCATTATTGAAATCGTTATTTCTTTTTTTTTTTTTTTTTTTTTTTTTTTTTTTATTTAGGCATCAGACATCCCGAAGAATTATCATTTTGCAAACCACTTGAACCTTCTCATTTGAAATGCAATTTAAAAGATTTGCCATCGAAGAAGAAAATTGAAAATCAAAAAAACGGTCATTGGAACGTACCAGCTGATACGAATACCTTTATACCAGCGAGTCAAAGTCCCAGAGGATCGACAGGCAGTCTCGACCAAAGTAGTCCCTTCATGTGTGCCCCGGTCACACCCAGCAATAGAAATCACAGCACACCCATCAGTTCGCCGGTATCGGTCAGTATATTGCAGAGGCGGAGAGAATCAATTATTATCAGAGTTTTATAAAACTCGAGCGATAACGTTCGCGATACGTTGTTCGTGCGAGTATTGTTATGTGGCAGTAACGTTACCGTACTTAGAACGAAACTATGCGAATGGCTTTAAATAACGCGATGCTGACCTTATCAAAGCCGGTCTCTATCTTTCTTTGTCGACGAAAGAAAAAAAAAATAATACAGAAAGAAACAAAAGGACAGTAATTTTTTATCATGTTAATTATCGTGGTCACGTTCGTTAGAATCGTGCTTAATCGGATATAGAATTAAAAACAATTCGTAATAACACGAACGATAATTAAATGTTTAATTTTGGTATCTCAAATAAAATGACGTTATATTTGCAGATTCAGCACACCAGTACATGGAAAAGAAATAACAATTCGTCGGGTTTCGGCAGTACCGGATCTTTCAATGCAAATAACAGTACGATGAGTTTGGAAGCGTTGAACGGAGGTCTATCCGAATCCCTCGCTCAAAGTCCGGCCTCGATTTCACCGGAAGTACGCTCGAAGTTGATCAGGCCAAAGAGTCTCGTTGAACGGGCAAGAATGAACGTAGCTTGGCTCGATTCATCTCTCTCGATCATGGAACAGGGTATACGTGAATACGACACTCTAAGACTCAAATTTAAGTTCTATTCGTTCTACGACCTAAACCCGAAAACCGATGCTGTCAGAATCAACATGATTTACGAGCAAGCCAAATGGCAACTTCTAGCCGAAGAGATTGACTGTACCGAGGAAGAAATGCTCATGTTCGCTGCTCTTCAGGTACATTGGAGAATCCTCTATATACCTATATAACCATTCTTCCTTCTTTTTTTTTCTTTTTTTTTCGGTTCGGCTTTCTCTTCTTTTTTCTTATGCTTTTACAGCTGTACCATGTTGCTGATGGTCTCACCACGATCGAGAAATCGTTTCCTCGAAGCTAACCTTCAGTGAACCTTGAAATATTTCTTCTCTGAAAAATTCTCACGACTCATTCAATATTTGTCTAGATTAAATTTATCGAAAAGAATTTTTTTAACTTTTAACATACATTTGTTTTTCTTTTTTTTTTTTTTTTTTTTTTTTTTAAGAATTATCGGTATTCATATTGAACAAGTTTAGAGATGTTCGCTTATTTTCACAATCTAAACATCCGTCAGCAGTGCTGCTAAATCGAATCTGATCATTACGACGCTTGTTTACATAAAGAGACTTATCTATCCTCTCGACTAAACGAACGTGATTTGCACGAACCTTTTACTTATAATATTTACTTTTTCTTTTTTCTCGCAAGATTTACTACGCGATTTCCTTCAAATATGATAAGATGTCAATCAATTATATATAACAAAGCTATAAGGATCATAAAATTATTATCCTTATTATTATGATGATATTTTAGACTATTATTATGAAATTATAATCTAATTAGTATATAAAAGATCAGGAAAGACAATGAATTAAAAAATCAAAACAGGACATAAAAATAGTTTAAAAAATGAAACGATTTGGGCAATAATTGATCATTCTTAATCATACAAAAAATAGATCAAAGAAAGGAAATACATGAGAAAGCTATAAAATAAAAAAAAATGGTTCTCGTAGGTGCAAGTAAATCTTCAGGCTACCATGCCACAATCAAGTTATGATAGCAACGGTGCCTCGTCTCCTGTCGAGGACGACATAGATGCAGCTCTGACGGATCTTCAGGTTACCCTCGAGGGTAGCAATATTAATAACGGTCCAAGTGACATCACGCAGGTACCAGAGCTTTGCGACTACCTGCGTTTCTTCAAGCCAAAGCGTTTCACCTTGAAAGCATTCAAAAGATACTGGTTCACGTGCAAGGATTTACAACTAAGATTGTATAAAACCAGAGAGGAAACCAACGGTTCGGAATCACCGGCATATGTCATCAGTTTACGTGGCTGCGAGGTCACGCCCGATGTTCATCTCTCTCAGGGTCGTTACGGGATAAGGTTGGAAGTACCTAGTGCCGAAGGCATGACCGAGATGTGGATCAGATGTGATACTGTAAGTCACTTTCTGTGATATCAATGTGACACAAACAAACAAATTCGTGCGATCAGAATCGTTTAATTTATTTTTAGTTGTTATTAGAGTAAAAAAAAAAAAATGTTTATTTCCGATAAAAATTTATTTCTATTTCATAAAATTATGAAAGAAATCAAATACAAAGACAGAACATCTCAACACATTTGAAAAGAGACAAGATACTACAGCAATTTCATTTCTAATGTTCATTATTTAGGAACAGCAATATGCAAAATGGATGGCTGCTTGTAGATTGGCAGCGAAAGGTCGTACACTTGCAGATGCGTCTTATGAAAGCGAGGTCAACAGCATTACAGCTTTCCTACAACTTCAGAGACCTGCGCCAGCACCAGCGATAAGCCCAAATTCATTGGACATCACACCAGATGATTACGTTGCACCGAGATTCGTAAAGAGGTTTAAAGGAAAGGTATACAATTTTTTGATGATAATATCGAAATTTAATAGTCGATCGATCAATCAAATGAACGAACGAACGAACAAACATATCCATTTAATCGTGATTCTCCAATTTCTATAAAGCTGGTTCAAAGGATCTTAGAAGCTCACGCGAATGTAAAGGATTTGCCTCTCGTCGAAGCTAAACTGAATTACATCAAGGCTTGGCAATCACTTCCGGAATATGGTATATCTCTATTCGTAGTTAGATTCACTGGTAAAAGTAAAGACGAGCTGTTAGGTATTGCCAATAACAGGCTAATGCGAATGGAACTTCACAGTGGAGATCATTTGAAAACTTGGAGGTATAATACAATGAAGGTGAGTTGTCTTTGTCATCATCCTTTAAGTTTCCTTATTATATCTAAATTGTTTTTGATAACTTATCTAATTATTTTAACAAACGAACGATTTTAATAAACTATCTATCTATTTATCTATCTATCTAATTTATTTATTTATCTATTCGATGATTTCACTCTTTCCAGGCTTGGAACGTAAATTGGGAAGTAAAACACATGATGGTACAATTTGAAGAAGAGAACATTATTTTCGAATGCCAATCAGCTGATTGTAAAGTCGTACATGAATTCATAGGCGGTTACATATTCTTGTCGATGCGTTCGAAAGAAGCGAATCAAACATTGAATGAGGAAATGTTCCACAAATTGACAGGTGGCTGGCTATGAGAAATCTCTAATGATCGATGATCTTCGAAGTATGCTTTTAACGAACGACGAGAAAGGTTATCGAAGGAGATATTTTTTTTTTTCGTAAATCCTACGAAATCGTTGTTGCCAGTCAACATTTATAAAAAAGAAAAAAATTAAAAAAATAACAAAAAACAAAAATATGGATAACCTTGCAAGTAGGTTTCATATGTTTAATATGCTTTAGATGTGTACATAGACATACGAATGGAATCGTCCAAATCATGGAATGCCTTCATGGATAGAACGCAACGATCGTTTATATATATACATATTATACGTTTTATCTCTTATCGTCCTTGAACGTCAAAAGAATAATTATGTAAAAATGCGATCGCTCAAGAGATTAGCATTATTCTCGATGTAAGTTGTGCATCATAATATATCATATAACGTACTAACGTTATTCGATAACGAAAGACGAATTATTTTATTTTATTTTTATTTTTTTTCACCTATCAACCTGTACGGATGATTAAAAGTAAAAAAAAAAAAAAAAAAAACGAAATAAGCTTGCATACTACTTACTCGATAAAATATAACAATCTTTTTTACACTTTTCTTTGATGTAAGAAAAGAATAAAAAAACGACTAAAGGCTTATTGGATGACATTGAAAATTATTTTGGAAAATCATCTTTCTATACGAAATTCGAAAATCCAATACGATCTGATTTGTTATTTTTAAATCAGGATTTTGACGATGCTGCTGTCGTTCACGATTATTTATATATACACACACACACACACAATTAATGTGTTTAATCTATTACATGTACTTTTATACGAAAAACATCGTGCATGAATAGTATGGAATAATAATAATAATAATCTTGATTAATAAATAATCATCAATTAACGCTCGTCGGTTTCCTCGATCTCTCACGGCACGATATGTTTCCCAATTTAAGGACGGTGCTATTATAATGATACCGAGCGAGATTGATTTGTACCTTGCGAGACATAAAATTTTGTAAATTATTTGTTATCCTTCTAATGTAGATTGCATACATACGTTTAACTTTATCTTACACGTGTGTGTAATTTACATTAGAAAAAAAAATATATACATATATATATATATATATATATATATATATATATATATATATATATATATATGTATATATATATATTAATATTAAAATATATTTACTTATACCGTTATACATTCTCTATATACGATATTACGTTATATGTATATGTAACCAGAAAGTATAGTTTTGTATGTTATTAGACTATAGTTGTACAATAAACTTAATTGATTAATTATTAACGAACAAAAATTGCGATTGTGATTGTACTTGTCTTTATTCCAGGATATTCTTTAGGTCAACTTTAATTGTAGTAAATGTCCGAATGAAAAATTTCCAAATAAATAGATCATATACGATCTTTAATCTTTCAATATTAATAATATATTGAAACGATCAACATCTTTTTTTATTTTCTTTCTTTTTTCTTTTTGCCACCGTCCACATTAGACACAATTGAAAGATCGTATGGATTTGTTTATTTATAAAAAATATATATATATATATTGTTATCAAAAAAATAATACTCGTTAAAAATAATACTTGTAATAGTCAGATTAACAAAGAGCGAACATATGTAAAACGCCTTCGGTTCGAATTTCCCCATCGTGATATTTTTGATTCTTGATAATTATGATCATTCGACTGTAATGGGTGGTTGTGAATCTTTTCCAGAAGTTCCAATTGATTTGATAGTGCTTCCTTGATTTTCAGAATTTTTAAACGGGGATAAAGCCTTCGACGTAAGAAGATTTCCAGTTCTGGCAGCGGAATTTACTACGGTACCGCCAGCACTGCTCACCTATTTTAAATGAGTCGTTTTCAAATGCCTTATTAATTTTTATCTTCTTAGAATAACCGAGCGATCACAATCGATCGTCGTTTTTGAAGTCTCTCAAGTAGAGTAACATAACGTAAACGTGAAAGTCTATTAATAAATAACGGTAATAAGATAGAGTATCAGAAAATGAGTGACGATTTATCTAATGAAAGCTCTTTTACAATATGAATAAGACAAGTTTTTATAGTAATTATAAAATAAGATAACGTAAAAATTTAAACATGTATATACAATACCGAACATATAAATTTGGACAAATATGTTTTTGTTCTTATTTTTTTTCGTGTCATTGTGAAAGTACCGATCTGTGATTGTTTAATATTAATACCTCGTTAGTTAGTGTAGAAGTTGCATGGTGGTATCTTCATCTTCCAAAGTAAGTTTTATTTAAATTTAACTGATTTAAATAAAGTAAACTGAAGTAAATAATTTGAACTTAACGAACAAAAGTATTCGGACATTTCATTTATAAATATAATTTGTGGCCTAAATCTTAAATATTTGTTAAATTTTATTTTTATTTTTATTTTTATTTTATTTTTCCTAGAATGGTCCGATGAAACGAAATTTGGTAAAATATATGAAAGACAAAATTATAAAAACATTAAACGATGGTGTATCATTATCTGTTATATCACGATGTTTTAAAATTGCAAAACAAATCGTGCATAGTATTAAAAAACAATTTCTAGACCGAGACCATTTAAACAATTTATCTAAGTCCAGATGACCAAAAAAAAGATCTATTAGGTAAGATAGAAAAATAAGACGGTTGTCAGTTGCTGATCCGTAGAATACTGCAGTAGGTATTCTTAAAAGTTTGAGGGAAAGTGATGATTTAAACATACAGTGCAACGTCGTTTAACGTCTTTCGAATTACATGGACGCCATGGGGTAAGAAAATCACTGATCACAAAAAAAAATCGGTTAGGTCAACTTAAATTTGCTTAGAAACATCTTCATTGGTCAATAAAAAATTGGTACAATGTGCTTTTCAGTGATGAAAGCAAATTCAAATTATTCGGTTCTGATGGAATTCAGTGGATGCGGGGATAAAAAGGTAAAAGATATGACGTTCGTTATCGACTCCCATATTCTCATCACCGTAAAACATGGTGATGAGAATATCATGATTTGGGGATGCTTCTGTGGTCAAGGTGTTAAACCTTTGCGGAATATTAAAGGTATCATGAAGAAAGAACAATACATTGAAATATTAAAAACAGATATGATACCATATGCAAAGCAAGTTATGAACAGTAACTGGATATTTCAAGATGATAATGATCCGAAGTACTCATCTTGTGTGGTGCAAAATTGTTTAAATCGAAACACCGTAAACATTTAAATGGCCCTGGCAAAATCCGGATTTAAATCCGATTGAGCATTTTTAGCAACATTTAAAATTGAGTATTAGCAAAGAAAAATTTCGGAATACTGGATAATTATTTGAAATACTCCGTCAAAAATGACAGAACATTTCTCTTGTTATAATACAGAATCTTTTAAAATCTATGACTAAAAGAATGCAGGCAGTTATAGATTCTAAAGGATTTTCTATCAACTATTAAATTATTTCATTGTTTTGTATTGATAAATTATATCAACATACGTTTATTTTTATAATTTTTTTAATATTTAAATTTTGTCCGAATACTTGTGTCAATTACATTTTTATTTACTTTTGAAAAATATATGTATTATATTAAAATTTATATGAATGATTTTTTAAAATTAATATGAATAATTTATCGCCCTTTCCCTCTATAAATCCATCTATTAGTTTGATATTAATACATTGAATTATCCATAAAAATTTATAAAAATCATTTATATACATTTGTCCGGTATTGTATATTATATATACATATATATATATATATTCTCTTATATATATTATATACAATATTTTTTATATATCATATAATATAATATATTATATATAAGAAAATAATTTCATACAAACCTGTTGATGAATGGGTGGTGCCGAATGAATGAGTCTGCCTGCAAGAGAATTGGTCTTCTCCTTTCTGGTACGTACCCATTCATGACCAAGTACTCTGTCGAGAGTTAGCCTGAGGGTGATGTCCGGCTCGAGGATATGTCTAACGATGCTCTTCGCCGACATGGAAATGATCTCGCGTACTCGAGACCTGAATACCCAATTCCGTGACATCTGATCCTTCAGAAGTTTTCTCAAATTGGAATCATCGAACGGCATCGAAGCATTCAGCATGATGAAGAGAATGATACCGAGAGACCAAACGTCAGCTAACTTAGGGTTGTAAGGTGTACCAGAAACAACTTCAGGTGCAGCATAAGCAGCAGATCCACAATAAGTTTTACTTAAAACACGTCTACCATCGTGATCGACGCAAAATCTCGCAAAACCAAAATCTGCGAGTTTCACATTAAACTTCCTCGACAAGAGAATATTTTCACACTTAAGATCCCGATGAGCTATATTCTTGCTATGAAGATATTGCAATCCCGAGGCCATTTGACGAAACCAAAGCTTCGATTGTTGCTCAGGTACAACTCCGTTTCTCGTTACGAAGTCCAATAAATCACCGTTGTCTGCATATCGCATAAAGATGAAAACACGTGGCCCACGTTGCAATATACTATGTACCTGAATTACGTATTAATACCATACCGATATATGTTGATTAATTAAATAATCAAATTTGGATTCCCCTCGTACGAACGTTCTCATTAAGAACGTATCTTACTTGGATTATATGGGGATTCTCAATCTTCGTTAATATTTCCAATTCTCTAGGGAAAAATTTCTCGAGAAAATCGGGTGGAGCTTTCTCCTTATCGAAGATCTTACATGCCAATCGCATTTTTTTTGAACTTGCTCCATCAACATATTCAGCCAGGTGTACGGTCGCATAGGAACCCTAAGCGATTATGTCAGATTTTATAATATTTGACAAATCAATGAATCTACTTTTTCATATATAAACGATAGAACAGATTAAAAAAAAAAGAATAGGAGGATAGCAAGGACAAGTGTTTTGGGACTAGATTGAGAAAAGTTTTGATATCAACGGAATCTTCCTCCTGATTTAATGAAAGAAAGCAAGCAACCTGTCCGATCTTCTTGCCGATCAAATAGCCCCTTTGCTCAAGTGCGTTCACCTCCGAGTTTCGGGGGCTCAGTCGCGTGGCCATGCCAATGGTTCTTCATTGGAGGTTCACCAACGCCCAACGATAGGCAACCATAAGGGTCACACTTTCGTTCACCTTTTAAGATTCTCTTAATATCCACCTGATCTGCACGTTTCTTCTCCTATTGTACTTCTATTTTTCTCTTTTTCTCTTTTTCTCTCTATCTCTCTTTTTCACTCTCACTGTCACTGTCACTTCACCAAATTTAAAATTATCAACATGGACAGGAGCATATGCGAACCGAAGAGTAGCTTCGTTTACATCGATAATCCACTCGCGTGGATCCGTTTTGTCATTTCAGTCGGCTACAGTCACTAGAATTTTGTACGTTGAGACCAGCTTGTTGAGCTTGGTGTGGAGCGGAGAGAAAAAGTCCGTGTCTCATTCGAGCGTAGCCATTATATGGGAAAACAATATACTGTTGATCTCCACCTACGCGACTTGTCATTTTCTTCGACTTTGCGATATAATCTTACGGATTTTTTCGATTGGTTTTCATATTCTATCGATCGTTCGAACTTATTTCTTTCATTACGAACGATAATATGACAAATTATAAACGTCTTATCGTTGTAAATGATATATAAAAAATTTCTTAAGGCTATGCTTTTAGAATTTGAAAGTACGCGGTGTAACGTTGTTACCACTGAAGAAGAATTAATTTTTTTCATTAGTAATAGGAGTTTCATCCGACAGATGACGCACATCATCTCTTCTGGGTCGAAAGATAGGTTAGTTATGTATCAAAGGATCTTATTATATATTCTACTATAAAGTTTTAAAATTAAAAACATATTTATATATGTATAAGGAATAAATTCATTAGAATGCATGTATGTTAAGTGTTATGAATTTAATTTATACGAATTTAATTTTTATTAATAATTTACAGATAAAACAGTTACGAAGAACAGGCAAACAGACATTCAGATAGAAAAAAATATTAATAAGAGTAACGTAAGTTTTGTATACTCTAATATGAAAAATGTAAACTTTTTCATTTTTGATTGTTGAATTATGTATGGTGCATTTTAAAATTATTGCGAAAGTAATCATATTATATCGAAAATGACGTTAAATCACATTAGCAAGTTTGCTTTTCGAATTTGTTTACAAAGGCATAAGGTTGCTAATGTAAAACTAATACAAAGTCGAACCATCGCATTAAATGCGCGACAATCTGAACAGAAAATATTAGAATGTTTAAATAAAAGATCTATATTACGTCTCAGTGGACATGAATCTGCTACCTTTTTACAAGGTTTGATAACAAATGATATAGAATATCTTAAAGAAGGCTCTGCAAGTATTTATTCTTTGTTTTTAAATATCAAAGGTAGAGTATTATACGATACTATTTTGTATAAAAGCAAAGAAGATAATGTATTTTACATAGAATGTGATACTGAAGTAGTGGAGTCTTTAGAAAAGCATTTAAAGATGTATAGGATAAGAAAAAAAATAGATATATTATGTATAGATAAAAATATGAAAGTTTGGTCTATGTTTGATCCAACTAAGGTCATTGATGGCGAAAATAACAGTTCTTTTGAAGCCTCTATTTTACCCTGTGATACTACAAATAACAAAGCTAGCAAATTTATAGGCAATATTATAATATGTCAAGATCCTAGATCATCAAGTTTTGGCTTAAGAATTCTTGCTGACTCAGATATTGAAAGATCCGAAATCATAAAATATTTAGATCCTAATATCTCTATTTCTGAGGATAGTTTAAGCTACAAAGAATTTAAATACAAAATTGGTCTTGCTGAAGGTGTCAATGATTTACCACCAGGCAAACCATTACCTCTGGAAATTAATTGTGACTATTTACACGGTATTAGTTTTCAGAAAGGTTGCTATATTGGTCAAGAACTAACAGCTCGTACATATCACACTGGTGTAGTGAGAAAACGTTTATTACCTTTCATATTTGATCAGATTCCAACTATATCTTTTAAATATGATGAAAAAATCTTTGATGAATCTGACAAGGTAATAGGTCATTATCGCGGACATAATAATAAACATGGCTTAGGACTAATGCGTCTAGGCGAAACATTCAATGCTAAACGAATTAAAATACAAGAATATCCAATCAAAGTAATAAAACCTGCATGGTGGCCACGAGACTCTAAAAAAGAAGGGATTTCTACTCAATAACAAAATTTAATTTAATTATTTAATTTATAATTCTTTTAATTGATTATTGATTATTATATATGAGCATGAAATAAATTAAAGCGATGCAATCAATGTAATTTAAATCTTATCTCCATTTCTATAATTTTTTTTTTATAGATGACTACTTCAACGATCCAAGAGTCTAAGGAAAAAACGAAAGAAATCTTTTCATGCTCTTTCTGTACTTTACAAGAATATTTTGATTTTAAGGGCTCAAAACCTCCTTTCGCACGACATATCACTTATTTAGAAGAATGTTATGTTATGAAAGATCCTTTTGATTTAACTGCTAAAGATGTTCTAGTTATTGGAGGAGATTGTAATATTTGCAAAAAAGCAGTGTGTCTAGGATGCAGTGTATTTTTTACTAAAAGATTTTGTCAATCTTGTGCTGCAAACAATTCAGATAAATTACCTTCACAAATTCTCTCGAAAATCAAGATATAACAAACAGCTGTTTTTTAATGAAATTATATACGTAGTACTGAAAATATATCATTTGTTTCATATATTTTTATGATTATAAAATACAACTTTCAAATAGAGATACTATATTAATAGAGGATATAAATTATTTGTTTCTGAAGAATTTTTTACAAATCAATTAATCATTATCTTATTATTCTCTTTACAAGATTTAAGGATAAATATTTTCTAGGAACAATGTTATAAACTTCGTATCTCACTGATGATAATATTCATTGTAAAATTAGTTTATATGATGTTTATAATTTGCAAAAAACTTAAATTTGGTACAAATATGATAAAACATCTGCACTGCAGAAGATTCTGTATGTTGAAGATATTTTATACATAAAAGAAGTCACACTATAATCAAATTAAACTTTCTGTACTTTTTTGGACTTTGTAGTAAGTATTGCAGCCATTTTCTTTTTCTCTTGTTCCAACTTAGACTTCTTCTTCTTTTTCTTTTCTACAGTAGCTTTCTCTCCTTGAAAGATGGTAGTTTTTTTTACTGAAACATTCGGTGTACTGTCTTTGTGTAATTTATTTTTAAGTTTCAATTTCTTTTTATTATTCTCCTGTAACAATAAAAAAATAAAAAATAACAAAAATAACAAAAAGTAAAAAGTAAAAACAAATTAATATATCTTCAGTACACAATATAATATACACAATTTAGGGAATATAATTAAACTTACTGTTGGAGTAGTTTTATCTGCATCATTAGATTTGAACTTCTTTGATGATTTATTAACTTCATTATTTACTGACAGTGATCTTTTATTCTTGTTTTTAAATTTCTGTTTCGATTTGTCATCTGTAGAATACCGTTTTACCCGTATTTCTCGATTTAGAAGAGTTGATCCATTTAATTCTAATGCTAGAGGTACAGAATCTTCGCTTTGAAAATTAACATATCCTATTCCTTTTCCTGTACCTTTCCTCGTATCTCTAATTAATCGTACAGAATGAATTTCTCCACATTGTTTGAAGTGTTCCCAAACATCATTATCTTTGATTGCTAAATACAATAACAGAAATTAGACAAATACATATTAAGATATAAGTTTTGAAAATGGAAAAATCTGCATTACTTACTGAAAGATAAATTTCCTAAGAACACAGCTTTCTTATTATCGGGTTTCTTTTTCAATTTATCAACAGAGTCTACTCTTAAGTAATTGCCTTCGAATTTTTTTCCATTCATACTTAATGCTTTTTGAGCCGCTATTACCGTTTTATATACAACAAACATAGTAGTAACGTCTATTTTAGAATGTATCTGATTTTTTATAGCAGCTACTTTTTTCTTCCTCATCAAAGCTTTTGGAACTATACATCTTTCCCGTATATTTTCAATATGACCAAATTGTCTAAATACTTTCTTTATTTCTTCTTTCTTTACAATATTTGGAATATTACTAATATAAATTGTTCTTTTATTTATTTCGAGTTCTTCAGATTCTGATTCTTCATCACTGATGTCAATATCTTCATCATCTTCATCGTCTCCCTTAAAATCTTCATCATTTTCATCATCCACAATACTGTTTGCTAAAAGATCTTTCAAAGTAGGAGTAGACTCTTCATTATCTTCTTCATCATCATCGTCTTCCTCATCATCGTTATTTTCTTCATTAAAACTATCTTTTTTCTTTTTATTTTTACCTATAGGTGAAATGTTTGTTCTGCGATGAGATTCATCCATATCATCATTTTCGTCTTCTTCATAAAGATCACGAAAAGAATCGTCATTGTCGTCGTCGTCATCATCATCATCATCATCATCATCATCATCGTCCTGGTCGTCGTCATTATCACCTTCTTCAACTTTCTTCTTTTTTTCTTCAGATTTATTTATATCCTTTTCATCTTCTTCATAAGAATCCATGTAATCGTCATCATCGTCATCGTCATCGTCATCATTATCAGTATCATCATAATTTTCACTGTCATAGTCATCTTCACTTTCTTCAGTAGAATCAGAATTTTTATTTTTTACTCCTTTAAACATTTGTACTCCTTTATGTGGTGAAATGGTATTATCTACATCACTATTATATTCATACTCGTCATCTTCATTAGACTCTTCATTTTCATTAAAATCAGTATCATCTTCATCTGTATCATCTGCCAAACTTTGTCCAAAGATATCTGGTACTTTATCATTATCATTTTGTGAAGTAATACTATCATTTGATAGCATAACATCTTCATTTGTATCATTTAAAGATTCGTCAGTTTTATTCTTCTTATATGCTAAATTTTTTTTATCTTTTGGAAATTGTTTATTATTTTGTGGAGAAGCATTTTTACTGTCCAGAAATTCTGAACTCTTCTTTTTAAAGTCATTCTTTTGTTTCTGTTCATTACTTAATTGATTTGAATTATTCTGATTATTCTGCATTTTGTTTCCATTGATTAAATGTACCTTACCAGTTGGTGTGTTTGCAAATTTTTCATTTTTCTTTTTATGGATAGCATTATTTTTAATGACTTTTAAAGGTTTATTATCAGAACTGGCTTTTATATTTTGCTTAACTTTAGTCATATTCGATTATTTTTTGTTTAAGTTACTGTATAAATATTGTATGTATATACTAAAAGAAAAAAAATCTATTCAATATACATATATTAGAAGTTTAAAATTATAAATAATATAAGTAAAAATAGTTCATGTAAAACGATTGAATAGTAATTTAAAAATAAAGTAGGTTACCGAACACACGTGTTTTTAGGAGGGAAATTGTAAATAATACTTTAAAACAAATGAAAACAATAAATTTACGCAGTATACAATGTATGGAATAAGTATTAATAATTACCTTAAAGTTTCTTCTCTTTTACGAGTATAACAATTGTTAGTAAAAATTATTATTAATTTTTATCTATATTCTCATGCCGACAAGATCACACGGTAATAGGAAGATTCAGTATGGATGGTAAACGGTTAACCGGTTATATATAAGCATTGTTACCAACTTTTCGACGTATGTAAAGAAAAATGTTTTCGAAGTTTTGTTCAGTTTAACTAAAGAGGAAATAATTAATCTTTTTCTTTTTATCTATTTGTATTTATAAATATTTAAAATCTCATGGAAAAATCTCGTTAAAAATAAAAGACTTCTTCTAAAAGTAAAAAATCATAAAATTGGTAAAATATTCGAAATATAAGTATTTTTTGCAAATTGAATGTGTAGGGATTTTATCTAATAATTTCCTTGCATATTAAGAAAAAAAAAAAAACGAAATTTTTTATGATAAATTCAAATTAATATACATATTTACTAAATAAACGAATAGAATATTAAAGAGAATGAATTAACAAATAACAAAATGTTTATAATTATGAAAAACAGTTACAAAAAGACGTCTACGATAATTTATCCTTAGATGCGACACAAAGTAGTAGTGTTTTTCCCTCATACGATCTTCATGAATGGTTGGTCTTCGGCGCACATTGATTGGCTGTTGCAACTCGCTTTAATGTTAACTCCAGCATTTAAGCTGTCGTCACAAGTAATTCATAATAGCTCCAAGCAAGACACAGCACATGTGCAGTTCATTTCCACGAAAAATAATTATTTTCTTAGTGGGAGAAGTGTAGTAAACTATTAAAAGGTGATAAGTAGATAGGTTAACTTTGAACATTTTATATAGTTACTGCTAAATTAAATTGTACTTTATACAGTTATAAGTAATACACTACACAAAGAAAAATGTCGGAACGTAAAGTATTGAATGTAAGTATAATATCACAATTAATTTATTCATTTAATCATATAATTACATTGATGTAATATACGTATTTGTTTTCAAATATTTTAGAAATATTATCCCCCGGATTTTGATCCATCGAAAATTCCGCGCATGAAATTAGCACGGAATCGACAATATACAGTTCGATTAATGGCACCTTTCAATATGAGATGTAAAACATGCGGTGAATATATATACAAAGGAAAGAAGTTTAACGCGCGTAAAGAGGATGTTGAAGGCGACGATTATTTAGGAATTCGTATTTATAGATTTTATATAAAATGTACACGATGTCTACAAGAAATATCCTTCAAAACCGATCCAAAAAATACAGATTATGAAATAGAAGCTGGGGCAACGAGGAATTTTATGGCTTTGAAGCTAGCTGAAGAACAAGCACAAAGAGAAGAAGATGAAGAAAAAGAAGAAGAAGCTACAAATCCAATGAAGCTTTTGGAGAAAAGGACGCAACAATCTAAACAAGAATTGGAATTATTAGAATCTTTGGAAGAGTTAAAGGACCTTAATCGTCGTTTATTACAGGCGATTGATTTGGAAGAAATGTTAGAACAATTTAACACACCTAAACAGAGGCTAGAGAAAGAGCAAGAAGAGTTAGATGAACAATATATTAAATCAGTATTTGGTAATAAAAACCAAAAAAGGATTGTTGTAGAAGAAGAAATTGTGGAATTAGATGAAAAAGAAAGCAGTCCTCCCAAAAAAATGCTTAAAACAAAATTAAAAGATAAAGAGAGTAACAATTTAGATTCAAGAGAGGATTCCTCAGAATTTAAAGAAACTGTACGTTTACTTATATTTTTCCGTTTTATTAAGATGTTTTAAAATATAATTAACATGTTTTTTCTTTTTAAACAGATTGATATCAATTTATCGGGACCGTCTACAAGTACAAATACAATTGTTAAAAGTTCAATATTTTTAAAAGATACCAAACCATCATTTAATAAGAAGAATTTAGTTATTGTTAAAAAGAAAGCAAATTTAGGTGTAAAAACTAATTCAGATACCATTAGTGAGAAAGAAGTTTCAGAAAAGACTGTTAGGTTACCGGAAATAAATTCAAAGAGTGACAAAATTAAAGCTAATGATAATTGTGAAAATACAGTGCCTACTTCCAATAACATTGGAAATGGTCTTTCTTTATTAACAGAATATTCTGACAGTAGTGACAACGACAGTAATTAATACAAGTAATATAAATTAATTGCATTTTAGATTATGTATTTATTTTATAAACTTTCCTAATATAAATATATTGTACAA